CCCCTCCCTGCAGTCCAAGCTTCCTGACCATGCCGGTCACGCAGGGCTGGGCTTAACCCGCCTACGGGGCTCCGAGAAGCCTGGCCCACCTGCTGCCTGAAAACAGGCCCCAGAAGGTGTCGGGCGCTTTGTGACACAAAGGAGCTGACCCTGGCCAGTAAAGCTGTCCTGGGGGACCACAGATATGACACGGTCCCACATCACGTGTCTACTCCCTCCACAAGTCACAGGCCTCAGCAGGGGCCGGGCCAGGCAAGCCTCTGTTGCTGGTGGCAGGAGCTCCGCTCTGTTCACAGGCTGCTCTGGTTCCCGCCTATTCTGGTTCGGCGACTCCTTCGAGAATCCGAGGAAAGCTGTGGACCCCGTCTCCCCAAAACCATCACGCACAGACCCGCAGCCAATCCACGAGGTGCCGGGGCCGAAGCAAAGAGCGTGAGACTCCCACAGAGAGGCCTGCCCACAGGACCAGCCACGCCGGCCCTGGGATGGCACCTGGGCTCAGGACAGGGCAGGTGCCCATACTGTCCCCATGGGTTTGAGGCCAGCGGGCGGCTCCGGGGCAGGATTTCTCAGAGCTAATGAGCACGGGGCACCTCTGAAGGTGACCCCGGGACACACGCAGACTTAGCTGGCCTCAGCGATCCCCGTCGGTTCACCTTCGATTTAGAGGGTGTCACGAGTTAAAAATGGTGAAACTTGTTACCGTGTTGCCTCAAAATGGATGAATCGTTTAAAACCTGACAGTGTGAGCCCGGCCAGCATGGCTCAGCGGCTGAGCGTCGACCTGGGATCCAGGAGATCTCGGTCTGATTCCCGGTCAGGGCACATGCCCGGGTTGTGGGCTCAATTCCCCGTAGGGGGCGTGCGGGAGGCAGCCGATCAATGACTCTCATCATTGATGTTTCTATCTTTCCCGCTTCCTCTCTCTAAAATCAATGAAGATGAGTTTTAAAAAAACACACAAACCTGCCAGTGTATACAACTGGGTACTAGAGGTAAGGGTGAGGCAGGGGGAGCCAAGGCCCCACCCTTCATGCCCACAATCGACCAGTAAGGAAACAGCCAGGGGGAGGACCCCTGAGTGGTGGGAGGGGGGGGGGCTTCTGGGCCAGGGCAGTTGTCCTTTCAGGCCTCAGTGTGAGGGGAGGCAGGTCTGAGAGCCCCGGAGGCCCAGCCCCATCTTGCCTTGCTTGCCTCATGCTCTCGGACTCTGGGTCTCACACTGGTCCTGCTCAGACACGGTGCCATGTCCTGCATCGTCTCAGACACCATCTCTATCCAATTTCACCTGCTATGATGCCCCCACAAGCCCTCTCCGCCTCTTACCCCAGCGCAGGCCCTGGGAGTGCTCCTGCTTCCCACCAGGACCCACAGCTGGGGACACACCACAGCCTGCTGGCCCCGGGCACCTGGCACCTGGGGACACACCACAGCCTGCTGGCCCCGGGCACCTGGCACCTGGGGACACACCACAGCCTGCTGGCCCCGGGCACCTGGCACCTGGGGACACACCACAGCCTGCTGGCCCCGGGCACCCGGCACTTGGGAGCGGCACTGTCAGGACCCCTGGCGACAGCCCCCGCAGCCCAGGCCCTCACCGTGTTCGCAGCTCTTCCCGCCGAAGCTCAGCGGGCACTGGCAGAGATACGTGTTCCACCTGCTCACACAGGTGCCTCCGTTCTGACACCAGGTCCCGTCGCAGAAGTTCCTCTGAGCAGCACAGCCTGGAAACAGAGTGGAAATGTGACGTGGGGTCTGTCCCTGTTCCTAGCACGGGTCCTGCCACGCGGACACTGAGCACAGCAGCAGAGGGAGGCTGGAGGCCTAAGACCCTTGGGCACGGACAGACCTAAGAATGGAAATGGCAGAGACTCGGCCTGCAAGCCATCCCGCCAGCTGGCCGGGTCATCAGGTGACATGCTTAAGACCCTGGGATTGAGTGCCCCAGGGGTCAGTGACAGGCCAGCCCACAGTGCGGGGCCCCCCAGTCCCCTAAATCCGCATGCCCGCGATCCGGGGCTTCAGCTCCCCTCCTGGCCGCACATGGGCTCAGCTCTAGGGAACGTTACCACCAGGATGTGGAAATGCCCTCCCCATGTGGCTGCCATGGCCCCGTGACACCCTGACGATCACGCCGTACCTGCCCTGGTGCCGTTGTTGGCGATGAAGCTGGCCATGTCCACGTTCCTGCCATCGATGGACAGGTTCCGCATGCAGCCCACGAACTGGCGGTTGTGCACCGGGAAGTCCTCGGGCAGGTTGGGGACACCCCCCAGGAGCAGAGGGCCCGTCAGATCCAAGGACCTGGGGAGGCAAAGCCGACCTCGGTGACGGCCGGGCGGCCACCGGGGGCCCTGACGCTGTTGTAAAGTCACATGGCCTCTGCCGCAGGCACACTCATCACCTCGAATGTCAATAATCAGACAGTGAGCCAGGGAGGCAGGCGGCCAACAGGCCAGAACACAGGCGGGTCCCACTTCTGGTGCCGCTGCTGGCTTCAGCCACCCTGTGCCTCGGTTTCCTCCTCGAACTCGCATCAGATCCTGACCCACTGGGTGTTTGGGGTGACCGTCCGCTGAGTCCTGCTCAGCGCCTGGCCCGGTCCACATCGAAATAGGACGTGCAGCACTGATCAAGGGTGCGACCTTCCTCCGGCCTCTAATGACCTTGAAGGGAGGTCACAGCAAACTAGACCCTGGTCCTGCACAAGCAGCTGCGTGGCCTTGGGCAAGGGGTCAGGTCTCTGCGGGCACAGCCCCCTTATCAGCAGCATGGACTCGATCCCCCCTCCATGGCAGCTGGGGGTGGGTGGGGATCTGAGAAATCACGCCCGCCTAGCACATGGGATTATGGACTGAACCTCAGAGACAGCGCTTGGCGGGTCGAAGCAGTGGCCCCATGGATACAGGGCTGGGGACGGTCTCCCGGGTCAGCAGGCCAGCCGTCACCACCCCGGGGCTGGCGCATCTAAAGGAATTTATTCTAGAAAGTTCTAGAAGATGCCCCCCACCAAGGAGAAGGAATCTGCCTCCAGCCCAGGTTGGGGCTCCCAGAGTGCCCTGTGTCTGGGGCTGCCCCGGGTGACCCCCTCTGGAGGGCGGCCATGGGGGTGGACGAGCTGGCCTCTCCCCCGAATGCTCACTTCTTGGACCCGCTCTGCGTGCCCTGGGCCGCGCAGCTGTAGTTCCCGATGAAGCTGCCAAAGCGCACGGCCACGGCCGTGTCACAGTCGTCCACAGTGACCACGGCCACCTTCTCTCCGGACGGCCCGTGGGGCAGGCCCAGGCGGCCGATGTTGGGCTGTCGGAAGAGAAAGCAGAGGGGCGTCAGGGTGTCCCCCCATCAGTGCCCTCGGCAGACTCGCCAGGCCCTGCACACACACCGCCCACCCACCGAGGGACAGGCATATGGGGGTGGCGTGTGGACAAGGGGCCAAGGAGCCCCAGCCTTGTTTCAAATTAGCCCCCCAAATCAGCCATACTGCATTTATAGTGTGCCCCCAAATTTATGCCCTCCTGGAACCTCAGAATGTGGCCTCATTTGGAACTGGAGGTCCTGCCGATGTAGTTAATTAAATGAGGTTGGCCCTGGCTGGTGTGGCTCAGTTGGTCGGGCGCCGCCCTGTGCATCGGGAGGGTGCCGGTTCAACTTCTGGGCAGGGCACATGCCCGGGTTGTGGGCTTGATCCCCGGGCGGGGGCGCGCAGGAGGCAACTGATCGATGGTTTCTCTCATCGACGTTCCTCTCTTCTCCCTTCCTCTCTCTCTAAAAATCAATAAACTATTCTTTAAAAAGAGAAAAGCTGAGGTCGCACTGCGGCATGGTGGACCCTGATCCACTGACTGGTGTCCTTTGAAGACGGCCACAGAGCAGAGACACGGCAGGTCACGTGACGAGGCAGAGACGGGAGTGATGCCGGGGCCACCGGGAGCGGGAAGAGGCAGGAAGGATCCTTCCCCCGAGCCCCAGACAGAGTGGCCCTGCCCACGCCCAGGTCTGGGACACAGACCTCCAGACTCAGACAGAAAACGTGTTGTTTTAAGCCCCCAGTGGGTGGTATTTTGTACAGCGGCCAACACCCAAGCCCTGGGCACCCTCCTTTCGAATGTCCACTTCTGCCTGTGAGTCCAAGTGCCAGCTGGACCCCTGTCCACGCACCGGACCAGGTCCTGCTCACCCCTCTTGTGTTCCTAGAGGACAGACACCAGGAGGCCACTTCCCAGCCCACAGACGGCCCCCACGCCTCCCCAGGGTGGCCTGGTGCCCTGTCCGGGCCAGGAGCCTGGCAACTCCCAGGTGCTCGTGGTCACCCCTGGGCCTGGGCCTTTCTTCACCCTGGAATGACCCTCCTGTGCCCTTTGCTGACCTGAAGTCGACCACCCTTTGTGCCCCTAGATCAAGCCCCACCTGAGCGTCTCCCCCTGCCCCGGGGCGGCCCCGAAGGTCTTACACAGTCTCCCTGCGCAGGGCTCCCTGTAAGGTTCCTCTGGAGTCAGTGACTTGGGGTGAAGGGAAGCAGGCTCCCTCTGGAGGAGGCTGCTGTGTGCGACCAGTGACAGGCCCTCTGTCCCTGGGCTTCCCCCGCAGTCCCCTGGCCTGCCCCTCGAGGACGCCGACCACGTCCACCCTGACAGGGCTCCTTCCAGCAGGAGGCGTGGGGCCTGTCACGCAGCCACAAAATGTGGAATGGTCACAGAGTTCACAAAACGTGGCCACTGGCGGGCAGGGGGCAGGGGGCAGGCTCGGGCCAGGCCAGGCAGCTCCAACTCCCTCCCCATCTGCACAACACGAACAAGACCTGCCTCCCGTGGGCGCCCGAGACTCACCCAGTTGGCACGTGTGAAGCGCAAGAGGCCTCACCATGCGCACATGACACGTAGCAGCCCTGGCAGAGGCTGGGTGAGATCCTCCCCATCGCCCCCAAAACAGGCTCCGTGTGGTCCTCCCCATCACCCCCAAAACAGGCTCCGTGTGGTCCTCCCCATCGCCCCCAAAACAGGCTCTGTGTAGTCGTCCCCATCACCCCCAAAACAACAGGGTCTATGTGGTCGTCCCCATCGCCCCAAAACAACAAGCTCCCTGCCTCCATGGCAGCTCTGGGCTCAGTCTAAGTTTATACCATGATGCAACTTTATGCTTTTTTATAGTAACATTGGAAATAGGTGGTTGTAAAAACACAGAATATAAATAGTTCACCCGCAAAGCCCTTGGAGAGGGAAGTAACTACACAGTTCATTCCAAAGGAAGACGCTTCCCCCCTTGTTGAGGACACCAGGCTGGGAGGGAGGGCACGGAGCTGCCGTCCAGGAGCTCAGCCGGGCAGCCGCACTCCCCCTGGAGCAGCCCTGGAGCACCCCCTGGAGGTGGCGGCTCCCGCTGAGCCCTCTGCTCCCCTTCGGCCAACCTTCCGACCTGGACGAGGCCCAGCACTGTACCTCAGCTTCTCTACTATATACGGATTTAATATTGGAACACCTGTCCCTTCTGTGTTACCGGGACTCAGAGGGTCCGGGAACCCTCCACACCCCCTGGCCGCCCAGGGCCCGGAGAATCTTTCCCTCATTTTACTCGACGTCAGCTGATGGGATCACGGGCCTGCAAAGCTCCATCCTCAAAGATTTCACCGTCGGTGAAGCAGCAGTCAGATGGATAAAAAAAATAGCCTTGTTCCAGCTCGCTCGGTGCCAGCAGCCGCCTCGGAGAACAGACGGTGCCTATTACGGGTGGGTAAGTGGTAGGTGCCGTCCCGGGCAGAGCCGTCCCCGAGCCGCGCGAGCCCCACATTTTCTCTGCAACTTGTAATTTAGATTTCTGGGATGGGTGTGAGACTCCCCAGGGAGGGACATAAACAGCATTTACGCTCCGGGAGGTTTAACGAGATGAAGCTGCTGTTTACAAAACCACACTTGTTTGTAATCAACGGTTCAGAGCAAAACAGCGAGAAAAACTGGAGGCGAAATAAAAAACCCGACGTGTATCTGGAGCAGCTCTGACTGACTGGAGACGGCCCCGTCGGGACAGACCCCAGGGCCTGGCATCGACAGCCACACCAGCACTCACGGCCTTTAGGAAATCAAACCATCTCCGAGAGCAGGGCCCGCCGCCTGTTTTCTGACTCCTGCTCCCAGTGCACCTCCGTTCAGGCCAAGGTGCTAGGCCAAGGTGCTGGGCCTCGGGCCGCAGAACCAGGCCCTCTCAGAACAGAAAGGGCCGGCGGGAAGACACACGGGGGCGTACCGGGCAGAAGCCACACCAGGCCTGCTCCCCGCTCCCTGCTCCACAGGGCTCCCCACTGCCCCACCCCTTCCCCTGCTGCTCTGGAGCCAGCAGCTGCTTTACACATGTGACAACTGTCACCAAGAAGACACCAAGGAAAGGATGTGGGTCTCGGGAAAACAATGCTGCAGCTGAGTCAAGATGCATGGACGAGGTTCCTCGAAGAGTTAAGTACAGAGTTAGCACGTGACTCGGCAGTTCCACTCCCGGGTACAGACCTTTGAGAACTAAAGACAAGGCCTCAAATAAAAACCTGCTCACAAATGCTCCCAATAGCTCAAAGGTAAAGCAACCCAAATGTCCACCAGCCAACGGCAGTGGTATGTCTATTCAGTGGAATATTACTTGGCCAGGAAAAGGGGGTTGAACCTGTGATCCAGGTACATGCTCTTGGTCGGAAATCAAACTGACAATCCTTTGGTGCGCGGGCCGGCCGACACTCTAACCACTGAGCACACCAGCCAGGGCCCTGCAGGTATTTTCTGAGATGGGGGCAGGGTGAGCATGGCGGTTCCATCCTCACTGGCTCCCATTCTACCTGCCTGTGCACAGGGAGGGTGCAGCCCTCACCACCTGGCTGGTTTTCACCTGCAGTTTGTGTATCTTGTACCTGCTCGGCCCGAGTGTCCACACCTGGCTGCTGCAGGGGCAGAGTGAACGTCCTTGGCTTGGACAGCTGCCCTGTGAGACCCACCTGAGGCCCAGGGGGGAAGGTGCCGGGACACCGGCCTCCCCCTGCCCTGTGCCTGGCACCCTTCTGATGCAGGATTTGTGAAAATACTCGGATTCTGTCGTGCTTTTTCTGTTTTGCCAACATGTGGCAGACTTTAAACAGTCATCTCAGACACGCGGGGCGGTTTACGCGTCTCCCTCTTCTATTCTCCATCCCTCCCCGCCGGTGCCGGCAAAGCCT